GGTAGAAGAGAAGGTTGAGTCGAAAGTAAGGGTTTCAGGTCAAGGAGAGAGAGAGAGAATAATTCAACACATCTCAAAAAAGGTTGTCACATCATGTCAGTTACTTAGTATCCTTTATCATTTTGGTGGGTAAAGTCTTTTGATTTCTCTATTTAGAAGAGTTTTAGTCTTGCATGTGAAGTTGTGAAGTCAAGGGGAATGGTCGTTTCTGAATACTCAAAATTGAAGCAATTCCAAATAAGCTTTAAGAGCATAATCGGGTGAAATGGCTGAGCAACACTCTTATTGGAATATTCTCTAACCAACGCAACAAATTTCAACTAATGCTTCTAGAGGCTAGTAGATACTTATTGGTGAAGATTCATCAACAGGAGAGTGGCAGGTTCCTCTCCTTGTCAGAATATGCTGGAAGGAGAAAGAGGAACGATTTAATTGATCCGGAGTGGAAGGTTGAAACAGGGTGGAAGATTCTAGAAGTAGTCTTAGCCTAGTATACTGAGAGGTGTATTCCGTCAGGATGCATGACAAGGAACCTCAATTATTTCAAAAAAAAAAAAGGACGAGGAACCAGGAAAAAGCATGATGGTCGAAGAGACAGAGCAAGAGGCGGCTATTGTCAGGAATACTTGACCATAATATTATGGTCAATCTACCAAAAGCTTGGGATTAAGGCTAAAAATAAGGCTGGCACAATAAAAGAAAGATTCTTTTGGAGCGGGCAATCAGGAAAGCTTTGCCTTAATAGACAAATTTTTTTTTATAAAAAAAGAAGCTTCATTAAGAGAAGAGAAAAAAAGTACAAAGAGGAGAATAAGACATCCTCCTAATTTTGTTAACATAACCAAAAAAACATAAATGAACAAATTTATGGTTCACCAAGGAGCGAAGATGATAGCCTCCCAATTTCGATGGAGATTATAAATAGCTATCTCAGAGAAATATTTGTGTACCTTGGCCCATAAGGTAGCCATAAAAGTCACTTTGTTCCATATCTCATGAGATGTATGCTGCGGCGAAAAATTCCTCAGTTCCT